GCCCTATAGCGAACAGGAGAACTGATGAAACCCGAAAAATCGAAATCCATTGTCACACCGTAGCTTGCAAACTTGTATTTGCTCAACGTCATCTGCGTACGTTCTATCTGACAACATTATCACCATCACGCTGAAGTAGAAATGGCTGATCTCCATCAACAGTTCGGGGCCATGCGGGTCGGTCAACTACGAATGCTGTGTAGACAAAAGGGAATTGCATCAGACGGTAAGGTAAGGCGAATCTCGGCAGAGTCCCACCTGGTCTCAGGTGGCAAGAGAGATCTTGTTCAGCGGTTATGTGAGCTAGCTGATCAGTCAGGAGCTGCTACGGACACTTCTGATTGCCAATCGGTGCCGGGAGATGTCCTTGTTGAGCCTGGTCTCAGCCATGAGGAACTACACGAACTCGCCACGATAGCAGATGAAATCAGACACATAAGGAAACAAACCGTAAGAGCTGTCGTTAATACAGTGATTGTGGATTGACTTCTGGGTAGGAGTACAATCTATTGCGTCATCAACAGCATAGATCAGCGGGAGGCGCCGGATACCGAGGGTCTTTTCGACATAATGTAAGTCATTCGCTAGGACGGCAAGTCGCCAGACTTACCACTCTTCATCGAACTTCATCTCAATGCAAGCATATGTATCCGTGGTCGCTCCTCTGAAAGTAGTGTGAGGGTTGTCCTTTCAGACTCCCGTTGCGAGAAGGGGTACTCCGACAATGTACAATGCATCGTACGTGAACATCTAAAATGCAACCCCTTGGAATTTTCCGTCGGATGGAAATGAATACCTCCAAGTTGACTCTAGCTGCACTTGCCTCGTCGTCCTAATGACGACTCGAGCGTAACCAGGTGTAACAGTTGTTATGTCAGCCTGAATAAGTGAGTTGAGTGATCTTGTAAGGTGAGTTCATTTATTCGGTGCTCAGGCCTGACATGTCAAATAAGTGTCACTAAATTTGTCAGCCTTGCTGTATGTCGAAATCCATTTACTCATTCAAACGGTTTACATACAACGACGCCTCCCAAGCGAGTTGAGTGCAGGTGGGCTTTCAATTAGTCGTTTCCATGATAATAGTCGTGGGGCAATGTAGACAGTAGGGCCAGGCTTCTTACTAGTAGTTGAAGATTGTTATTCATTATTGGTCAACTCATCAGACTAGTGACGATATTTTGGCTCATATAGAATCATTCATAAGGAACGTCGAGGTATCCATTATATGTCCAACTAGAACCTGACACAAACATCCCGCTGCTAACCTTAATGTTGGGGTGGAGTAGTTCAAGATGAAAATTGAGTAATTCAACGAACGCAAGGTAGAATTTGAGACACGCATTCGTAACTGTCGATTCTTCGATGAGTCGTCGTAGACGACTTTTGAACTTTTGACGAATCAATCGTCAACTCTTCCAGTTGTAGAAGATCCGGGTCTCCTCCACGCGGTTCGTGCTACTGTGTCGTCCGATGTGACAAGTCCTATACTTCACTACGATGGCTGACGTTGACTCAGAGTGAATTGCGTCATGTAACATCCGAGGTTGCTCGAACTACACATATCTTACGTGTAGTGATCCCTTCTCGCTATTGTTGACATTGCGAGTGAAGCCGGGTCCAGATACCCTGCTTGGTTGGCTAAGACCGAAGACTATGTCCTGTGGCGTGGAGGGGCTATCAATCTCTAGATTCATTATTGTTATACGTGGACGAGGAAGGTGATAACTTCTGTGGTGTAGGACATTTCCATTGACGGTGCACGATTTCGTAGACCGAGTCCGCGAATGGATTCAAAACTGCAACCTCCTCAAAGGGAACTAGGCGAGAGCGGAAAAAAGGAAATCCGAAACCCCACCCGAAACCCGACGGGTCAATTCGAAACCCTAACTGTTATCCAGGGTCAAGTGAGCCAGAAGACCCGAAATGGTGGCCACATTGGAGAGAGGACGAGCCACGGAGTCTTTTGATAAATCCTTAAAAATATGAGTTCACTCAAAGTCCCTGGGCGTCTTGGATCTCGGTCAGAGCCCTCGGATTCCGGAGTCTCACAAATTTATTGTTTGTTACGAGAATGAGTAGAGCTGCATGAGAATCGTATGATGGGATCCTACCAGCCTTGCTGAGTTAAAGACTAGTAATGGCTACTAATTACCCTGGCAGTAACTTCTCCGGGTCGCCTCCTGGCGTGGGAGGGAGCGTGCAAGGTACTGACCCCGACTCAAGGTTGCGGTACAGAAAGTGTTATCTTCTGTCCATCAGGCCAACAGGACCCGTTTGCTGCAGCAGCGGCTATCGCAGCCCAAACAGCGGCCTCTCTGACGAGCCAGCTGAGTGGCAAGGCTACTGAGCAAGGAAATACACCATCGTTCAGTTCAGGGGTAGGCCTTCTGTTAGGAAACCGCGATTGCATGATTGTTGTCAGGGACATGGTGACAGAGGATTCGACGACCGGAGGGTGAGTCGGGGAGCAATGCATTCAGTTCCGGAGTGCTTATAGATCTATCCAACGGAGAGGATTTAAAAAGTTTGAAAATTCAGTCCGTGGCACATTTAAACAACATAATAATTTTCGGAAAGGTCCTATGCAAAATTTCATGTTGATGTGAGCAGTACTTGCGATGTTGAGGCTGCCATACGAAATTGGGTCTCAACATTTCGCGTACTGGTCGCCGTTTTCTCATCTCAGCAACTATTCGTTGGTGGCATACCCGAGGGGTTCACTGACGATGATTTTCATCGATACTTCTCACAATTTGGAAATGTTGAGAGATCAATCGTTATGACGGATAAAATGACTGGTCGCTGTCGAGGGTTTGGTTTCGTAACGTATGCGACAACTGGAGAGGTAGAGGTAATAATAACCGCATATAATCGTGCTCCGCGGAGCCGATACTGGAAAAGTTTCCGTCGGGACTCTTATGTGTTCAGAATTGCCTCGCGAACGGGCCACATCAACTGAATGGAAAACATGTCGATGTGAATCGGTCTCAAGATCCTAAGGATGCTCATAAGGGAGGTGCTATCTATCTGGGAATCATCTATAATGTTTCCGAGGGGGGGGGAACTCATTTTGAATTTCCCACATGCCTAGGATCACATTCTTTGAACAGTTGGTCACAATAGGAATATTTTCCCGAAACCCTGGGGGACGTTCTCTTGAAATTACAGAAGGCCCTAGTCCATGGTTTGGTATTACCTCGATCGTGAAGTGATGACGCGATATAGTATTATCATGATGACTCGTTAGCTAGCCGCGCAATCATAGTTAGCATGTTACGTCTTATGGTGATGGGTGTTCACTGGTCCTTGTTGTTTGTCATCAGGCTGGGGCTCCGATAGATCTGGGGGTCCCTCTCGGTACTACTGTCGATTCTCAGTGGAATTGATATAATGCCTCATTCTCGTTAGACGTGGCGGTGGTGGTGATGATCCGAAGAAGGTCTTCTGTGGAGGGCTGCCTCAGGACTGTGATACAGGTTGGTGTCAAACTCGGCAGTGATATCGCCCGATCTATTTCCTTCCAGAACGCCTCCGTCAGCACTTTTCCCAGTATGGCAACATCGTCGACTGCATTGCTATGTAAGTGGAGTAATGGAGTTCTCCACACATGAGAACAGTGTGTTCGATTTTCATAGTCCGAAGCGAGAAAATGTTGTAACTTCACTGATTCGACTATCAGGAATCTGAAACCTCGAACATTTTGAAGTCTATAAGTGAGCAATATTTTAATATGTATATATGTAGGCGGGATCGAGATACTGGTCGGTCGAAGGGTTATGGTTTCGTCACCTTCGATTCGGAAGATGCTGTCAATGCGGCTATAAATGGGGATAATACGATCGATGGGCGATGGGTAATAACACCTAGTCAAGTATACGTGCATAGTGGATTCTCCTCAGGTCGAGGTTAGGAACTCTCAGCGGTTCGGGGGCTCGGATGGGAGTAGTCAAGGAAAGGGCCGGGGCTGGGGGGTAGTACTTTGCTACTCGTAGAACTGCCAAGTTTTATACACATGTACAGTCGTTTGAATCGCAAGGCTACGGTGATGCCTATAGTCAAGCGGCGGCGGCGGCCATGCAGCAGGGATGGGCTGGGATGGCGGCTCAACAGGCGTACTGAGCAGTACTAGGAGAATCGGGGATGCTTCTATTCAGAGCATACTATCCTTACGCAGCCTACTACGGTAGTTACCAGGCTGGTCAGCAGGGAGGTCAAGCTGGTCAGATGGATCCGTGAGGCTCCCTACGATTTGTCAAAGTTATGGTATTACAAGCCATGCACAGTTACGCTGCCTATTATGCTGCAATGGCTGCTGCAGCGAGTCAGCAACAGCAACAGCCGGTTGCGGCAGCATCACAGGAAACGCCACAACAACAGCCTCAGCAGTCATACCCATCAGGAGGAGGTATAGTCACTCAAGTTTGGACTGGGTCCATAATTTCAAATCACAGGTGCGAGTATAAGCGCTGATGCGGGACGTTCTAATCCGTATTAGTTACTCGTACTATAGACAGAGCATAGTAGTTGAGTGACTGCGAGTGTTTGGTAGCTTCCGTTTCGAGGCTAAGGTCATCAGCCAGTTGAACATATGTCATAGCCAACTTATCACACACTATTGCTTGTTTTGTGTTGTACCGTGTTGGGGGGAGAAGTGGCGGACCATCGTCACAACATGAATGCTGTATTATCACTATTATTGTGTTCCTCGTGGATCTGACACTTAATAAAATGCTTACCCGAATCATCTCTTATCACGTCACTTCTTAGTGGAACTTCTCAGTGGAAAGGGATTTTCGAAACTCCTAAATTGAGCCTTCCGATGTGTGTGCCGATCAGCAGCCTCTACCTCGAAATGATCGTCTGTGCGACATCATTAATGTCGACATTTCTCGTATTTTTCAATCTGTCATTCTCTTGGTGGAAAAGCCATCGAGCAGACCCCAAGGAATGAGTGATAGAGAATCATTCAGCGATCATCCAAGGAGATACAGTGATTGCTGTAGGAGAAGTACACGTTCAACTCTACGACTTCTCACCCCTCGATAGTTATCAATGCGTCCTTCGAGAAGTTGTTTCTTGCGTTTCTATGAGAGGTTGTGATTCTACGTGGCGAGAAATGGAAAAAAAATAAATTCTCGCTGTTACGTACATGAACGACTCAATAATTCTCGAAGTGTTATTCGACGATTCGCTCGTTTTACGAGTGGCGGGCTCCCTTTTCGCATCAAGGTAAATCCGTGACCGAACAGAACTCAAGTCCGCGGATTCTCATCATGATTTCAATCATTGTCACTGATGCGCTGTCGAGCGTAGTCGATCTACATGTCTAACAGAAAGTTGACCTTAACGATCACTAACGGAAACAGAACGTACGATACGGTAATGTCTGCTCTAAAACTAAGGCTCTGGACGATGCCGAGACTGTATTAGTAATACACGGAAATAATAGATTGAGAAAAAAGTCGCATGCACTAGGCCACGTAACGGGCATCACTATGCAATACGGAGATCGCAAGTAAAATTGTGAAGACCAGTCACTACAGGACGTATTAAAGCTGCTCTAGGATAATGACCAGAAACAGTGTTCTAGACGGTTCCCATATATCATCAATGAACCACTGGGCAGACTGAGGAACCTTCCCTGGTGTTGACGAATTTGGGAGGAACACTGACGGGAGTGCTTGTCTGAAACGCTCTCATCGGGCATTTACCACCACTTTCACCAGGGCGTGCTTGAGTGAAGGGACCGTAAACACCCATAAATGCGCATAGACCATGAATATAGTCCCTTACAAAACCAAGGGGCATACGGAAATCTTCGCATGCCTTGAGTTGCATGAGTATCCAACGATTGCGCTGGTTCCAAGTGAAACCATCACCGATGAACCCAGCCTCTGCAGGAGCATTGGTTCTTAGAGGGCAATGCTGGGCTTTCTTGTGAGATGCGTTGACCTTACGAATTGATGGACCTTCTTTGTCATCACCGACGGCATAGAAGAACCATCGACAGAAGAGTTCGTGATGGGGCACGGTCTTATCGCTGTATAGAACCCCGAGAATTGGGTCGGCAAAAGACATATCATAGAAGTGCTTGACCAGGGCCAGAATATTCCCCCTGCCACCAGCAAGGTCTACCAGGTCGGCAGGGAAGAGCTGCATCCTCAGAAAAACACGAACTGAAGTATCGAGAAATGAAAACGAGTAATCACCAGATAGAGTTTGAAACTCATCATTCGAATTTGATGGCGGACTGAGA